CCGACGAGCGTCACTCAGATGCAGCAGACCGCTAACACGGGTTTAGGACAGACCGCCAGCCAGCAGCAACAGATGCAGCAGCAACAACAGCACGCCATGTCTATGAGCCAGCAGACGACTCCGGGTGCACAGGCACTGAATCAGAACTTGGGACAGGCGTTGACGCAGGCCCTCACCCACAACATGCAACAAAATCTTGGACAAACTTTGCAGCACAATCTCGCGCAAAGTCTGACGTCGAGTCTGGCGCAGCAGCAACACCAACAGTTGCTCAATCAGCCGCAGAACCTTAGTCAGGCTAGCCAGAACCTGCAACAGAACATCCAGAGCCAGGCGCAGAATTTGTCCCAGTCGTTGCAACAGCAGGCGCAAAATTTGACCCAGAACCTCGACCAGAGCCTAAGCCAGCAGGCGCTTCAGCAACAAGAGGCGCAAAACCTCACGCAGAATCTGCAGCAACAGGCTCAGAATCTGACGCAAAATCTGCAACAACAGGCGTTGAACATGGCCGGCAGCATCGCTCAAAACGGCGCCCTGGCCAGAATGGACATGTCGACCAATCAGCAACAGGGCACCCCGAACTCGATGCTGAGTCAAGGCGCTACCAGCCAGGACTCCCACGACTCCAGTCTGACAGAAAAATTCGTCAACGAGCTGCAGGTGAGAACGAACAAACTTTTTGCCACCGTCGATCGGGAAGGGACACGCTTTCTATTTTTTTTTGTTTTTTTTGTTTTTCCTCTCGCTTTTATTTTCTCGGATCTCGGTTAGACTTCTCTCGTCCGTAACTGCGGAGAGGAGAGATAAATAACTGGGACGAGGCAACCGCGATAAAAGTGCATAATGCGCCGATAAATAGGGTCATTCACTTGGGCCGACTGACGCCGGACAATACTTTCAAACAGTTTCTACCAACGGAGAAAAATCCTCTCGTCTCGTCTCGTCACCTTTTTTCTCGCATCTCGGGGACGGCTCGTTCGAAAGATCTATCTCAGAAAGCACGTTTCTTACACGCGTCGAACCGTTCGGTATTCCCATTCGCGGAAATACAAACGATCCCGGCGAAACGGGCAAAAGACGGATCTCGTATTGTCTCGCGACGGGGAAATCGCGGGAGGGATAGAGAGAGAGAGAGAGAGAGAGAGCGAAAAGAAGCGAGAAAAGAGGAGGATAGAGACGGTGGTGAGACACACGTCAGAACCCGGCAGGATACGACGAAAACGTCCGTATCGGCTTAACTGGATGACTTTCAATAAATCGCGCTACATCGTCGACAATTTCGCTGACTGTTTGAATCTGCGACTGTACCGAGATACACTGACCATGGTTCACGCACATCGGAATACGTTGACTTACCACATCGCGCGGTACTTCAACACGCGTCCAACACGTACATACACGCGTGCAACGGAGAACGAGGGCCGCGCGAGATCGAGGGAGAGAGCGAGAGAGTGAGTGAGAGTGAGATTACGGCGCGGGAGAGGGAGAGGAAGAGAGAGTGAATGTGTGAGCGCGCGCGCGCGCGAGAGAGAGAGAGAGAGAGAGAGAGAGCACTCGATGGCAGCAGGCGAGCTAGCGGGCAGAGCCAGCCACACGCACACATTAGAGTCACGGGGCCACAAATGCAAACGCGGCCCACGCACACCGATGCGAGGAGATGCAGATACGTCGTCTCTCGGGGTTCTTGACCCGCGCAACACAGATAATACTATACGCATACGTCATACGGTACGCCGAGAAGATGTTCTCGAGAAAATATCGCGGCGTGCTTCTGCGATGCCACAGTCCGCGAGCTTCGATACGGGGAAACTAAGTAAATATATCCCCGCGGAAACTGCTTCGGTCTCCACCGCTAATAGCAATTCGAACGTCTCGACTGTTTTTCTTCTCCTTCTTTTTTTTTTCTTCCTTCTGTCGCTCTTATTCTTCATTTGCACAAACTTTAGGGGAATTCAGCGGTTCGTTTCGAGAACGGACTCTTCTTTCTTCCTTTTAGCGAGAAAAAGTAGCAAAACTGATAGAGGAACAGAGTTGAACGACCCCGAGTTTTGATCTCAACGCGATTACCTACCTCGTCAGAGTGAGAGAGAGAGAGAGACCTCGATCTGTTCTCCTCTATCAATTTTCTACGTCTCTTTTTTTTCTTGTTTCTTTCTTTTCTTTTCGTCGTCGATTCTCCGCGCACGTCCACGACGATCCTTTCTCTTTGGAGGAGGATCAACATGGAGGACTAGGACGAATCGCGACACCGGAATGAATAGTTGCACGAAAATTACTCATAAGCAATCCAGGCTAAGGAAAGAAAGCGATTTTATAGTACTACTGCCGGCCGATAGAAGAGAGGGCAGAGAAAAGTAAACTAACACGAGCCTCCTGTCTTGCCCGATAGTCTCGTAACCCTTCGGCGGGACTTGGAGGTGCGGGAGGCGCCGGCGGAGGTGGAGGAATGGTCAACATCAGCGAACGCACCCTCGAGGAATGCTGGTCCACCCTGCAACGAGTGAGTTGAACACTCAGCCCGTTCAAAATCCCCTTATTATTTCTCCTCACACACACACACACACACACACACAGCTTCCTGTTACTTCTCACCTTCTAATTTTTTTTTCATTCTCGCCAATTCGGTTAGCCTCTCACTCTTTACCTCATTCTCTTTTCGTATATTATTTTTCACTACCTCCTTACGTTCCTCCCGCACGTTTTATGCAACCGTTTTCTAACATCGACACAGTACAAATGTAATCATCTCGATCCGGCGTGTCCTCGCAAGGGGGAGAGATTTCTTCTTTTTCTTATCCGCCTAGTGTCCTCGTCGTTTGTTGTTCCCTCGCGAATTTTTATTTCGCAAGAAACACGCCCTCTAGCATGCTCTACGTGCGTGTATGTGCTTCTCTGTGATTTTTCTGTTACCCTCCTGTCATTTAATCTGTAACATACACACACGATAGAACGTTTTGCACGAAAGATCTGACGAGATCGGTCAGACCGCTGCTCCAGCTGAGAGAACGACCGTGGGCGAAAAATTGGAGCGCCACGCGGGGCGGTTCGAGTGATCGATAATCCCCTAACGCGACGATCGAACGGGACAACTTTTTTTCCCCCGCGGAACAGAGAGGAACCGTAGGTAGACGACCGAGCGTCTCGAGCAACGGTACATCTCGGCCAGGCTCGCGAGACAATACCGCGTTTAATTGTTCCATACGCGTATTCCACGCACGATGCAACCGATTTAATGGGGGACACTCCGTCGCGATCGATAGCACGAAGGCTCCGTCGCGTATATGGCGCTGTCCTTTTACGAACGTGGAACCAAAATGAAGGGAAAGGAAGCACCGCTAACGAGCCGTGAATCCAAGTCGGACTAGCAGCCGGCTCGGAGCGAGATGTTCCATCGAAGAAGAAAGAAAGGAGAAAAGGGGAAAAAAGAAGGTTCGCCGAGGAAGGGAGAAGAGAGAGTGAGAGAGAGAGAGAGACGCAGGCTCGTGGAAACTTTTAAATTCTCGTCCAGGGGGTACGAAGCAACAATTTGTTTCGCTAAGTAGCCGTGGCGCTCTTTTGTTTTTGCGACTTCTTTTATTCTCGTTAGCTGCACGCGGACGGGGCTGTGCCGGGTGGGGATGAATGGAAAGGTGGAAAAGAGAGGCGGTTTGGAAGAGTGGTTCGTTCCGACCAACCCCTCCCGCTCCCTCTCGTCCATCGCCACCTTGAAAGCGAGTCGCGAACCGAGGCGAAACTTTCGGAAAATCGCAAAAACGCCGCACGATGGCGAAGTTTTCACGTTTTGCCGGGATTTAATTAAAACATTCGCCTCCTTTGTGCCCGCTCCGGTATGGTGAATCCACATCGAGGTAACGTCGTCTCACCGCCGTTCGTTCCGGTGCTCCAGACGAAATATTAACAGCCGTGTAGTACGCGTAGTACTCACCCCTTAATCTCATCATCGTACGATTCTCCGGATACGATCGAAGGCTGACGCTCGTGCGGCACAACTGAAATCGTCCCGACGCATGTACGTACGGCGGAATCGTGGGAAAACAAAGGGCGGAGAAAGAGGATAGAAAGTCGAAATCATTAATGCGGGGCAACGTTGTACAAACACTCGTCGCAGTGTGATTCTCTCATGGCTGGCTCGATCGGGGATGAGAAGAACGCGGTGGTAGTAAAAAAGAGAAAGAGCGTGCGACGGTTTTTGTTCTTTCACCGGGACGAAAATTAAAATCCAATTATTTCGACACCTCTGCACGACCCTCCAGCGATTCGAATGAATTTTTTGCCACCGTTCCTTCTCTCTCCTTCACCCCGGTTCGAACCGGTTCGCAGCGTCGAAGGTAACGTTACACAGAGAGGAGAATCTTACCCTTGACCGATACCGAGGGCCGATTTTGAATCGTCGACGACGACGACAGCTGCCAGAACCGGAACTGCGCCACGGGGAAAAGAAGAAGACGATGTGAAAATAGAGGGGCGGAAGGGAAAAGGAGAGAGAGAGAGAGAGAGAGCGAGCGAGCACGTTCGAGATCGATACTCTTGGAATCTTGAACGCAGAACGACGCTAACAGCATCGCAAGTTAATCATAAAGAATTTCGGAATTATTCTGTCGCTGATTACCATCGGCAATCTCGTACAATCAACTGGAAACTCGACGAGAAGCGAACGGAGTAAGAGAGAGGAAAAATGCTCCTCTGGAACACGTGTAGACGCGTCTTTCTCACGTTCGCATCCCCTTGAAACGCAACTTTTTTCTTTTTCTCCTCCTCTGCATCGAACCCCAAGAGAGAAAGAGAGTGGTTCCATCGTATTATTTAAATAACGGTGTTGGCGCGCGTGCCATTGTTTCACTAACCCTTCTACTGTTACGGAAAAGGGGCGAGGAGGGGGATAGGCAGAGGTTCGCCGTTTCGAGTCGAAGAAGAAAACCTGGAGGATGAAAGATAGAGGGGCGGCAAAGAGGGAAGAACTTCCGTGCCGGGTAGCCGTTATGGCGAAGGCAAAATTACGACATCTCAAGTCCAGGGGCAACCATACCTTCTGCCCCGTTCAGAGTGTACAAAGTTTCCTGGCTTTTCAGTAATTTTCTATGATTTTCAGATCGCATGATCGCTGACAATAACGGCCGTGCCCCGTGCCGGCTGTTAAGATCCTTCTAATCGAATTGTTCGATCTTCGGCGAAAACTGTGGCGCATCCGTGGCGAACGGAACCGGGAAAGAGGAGAACGGCGAATAAGAAAATCCGACGAGTTAGGGAAAATCGCGTTCCCTCGTGCCGCGGGCAGAGATATCGGGAGGAAAAGGAAAAATCCTGGGGGCGATTGAAATTCACGGCGACGAAAATATCACGTGAGAAAGGTACATACTACGCGTTACAAAGTCGTGCGCCGGCGGAACGTTCTGTACGCGGCGCGTACGGTTCTTTCTTCCTCTTCCTTTTTTTTCTCCTTCTCCGTCATTCGCTCGCGCGGTTCCGCCATGACCCACCCCAAGCGGTCGACGCGAGAAAGAAGGAGAAAAGGGGAGAGAAAGAGAAGGAGGACCCAGCGGCGAAGCAAGGGAACGAGAGAGAGAGCACACGCGCCCACACACGGCTGCGAAGTTGCAACGTGGATGACCAGGAGAAGAATTGCAAGGCGGGAACGAAAGAGCGAGATGCGGTAAACTGTGCGAGAGGAAAGAGGGGGGGCGAAGTGAGCGCGGAACAGAGTTTATTCTTTGTGTCGCGCGTATGGCTACGCGCTTTTTTTTTATCGTTCGTTGACTCCGCTCCGTTCTGCACTCGCGTTCGCCACATCGCGCTCTCCACGATAAGATTACATTCACAGGGGGCGGTCATGCGCGATTCTCACTCTTCTCACCCGCAGCTAGGATTTTCTCTTCTCGGAGTTTCCAAATTCGCCACCCTCCTCCGATCCTCGAGTACACTCGTTATTTCTCTTCCACGCTATCGTTCAAAGTGCAACGACGGGACATTCTGCAACATCATTCGCGTCCATTATCTGAACCAGAAGGCGCTAAACAAGCGCAGGTATTTTCGACCGTGATTCGCCTACCTACCAGAGATACGCTTCTTAACCGAGAGAGTCACCCTGTATAATGGCGAACTTATTAAACAACCGTTATCCTACGTGCCACCGGTAATTATTGCAAACCCGAGACGTGACGCGTACGCAACAGCCATTAACCCGTGGTGGCTCGGCTCGAATGCAAAACACCGTACGCGACCCAGAGGGGAGAGAAAAGCCAGGAAAGAAATTTAATCGAGGGAAGAACGGTAGCTGGGAAGAAAACGGGGGAAAATGCAAAAACGAGGGAAAGCAAGGAAGAGAGACCTCTGCTCGTCGGTAGGTCTAAATGCTGCGAGTAGAGTTGAGAAATCTCAGCGGCCGGTCACGAGAGAGACCGCGCGCGTATCCCAGAACCTTTCCTCTCCTCTGGTCGGAGCTGCCGCGGCAAAAGATCGTTGCCCTTCTAAATATAAGTTTGCAAAATCGAACAGCAAAACTGCGGAGTTTTGCCGTGGTCTGTGCGGCTCTGTGTGTATATTGCCGGTAGATCAGCCCCCTTCTTCTTCTTCTTCTTCTTCTTCTCTTCTTCTTCTTCTCCGTCGTCTTCTTCTTCCTCTTCTTCTTCTTCTGCTTCTTCTTCTTCTTCTTTTGCTGGCCCATCGGTACACGCTGCTCTCTCGCGCGTTCCTCTTTCTAGCGTGTCGCTTGGTCCTCCTCCGTCAGAGCGTATCCTCCATCAGCTCTCTCCTACTCCCTCGAGTCTTCGCCCATATCTACCACCTCCTTCGGATCCCCTTCTTCTCGGCTCCCTCCGACGCCGATCCCCACCGCAGCTCCGTGACCTCGAAGGCCTGCGAATCCGCTCTTTCGTTCGCGTTGACTTTCGGACAAAATTCGCCTGCTCCCCTGAAACGTAGTCGTAGGTCAGGATCCGGCCGCGTCACGGCTGATACACGTTCTCACTGGGAACCGGAGGATCATCTGGAACCCCTCACGTGCCTCTCTGCCGACTTCTTTTCGCTCGCCACGCTTTTTCCTACGTCGGAGATAAATACGCGCGGATCGTTTTTAACGCTCCTCGAGATCGACGGGCAATTGTCGATGTAGGTTTCGCCCATTTTTTTAGATAGTTTTCGAGGTTGGTCTCTTCTGAACGGGAGCATCGAATGCGAATCGGAGAATTTACCGGGCTCTGAAATACTGACGGGGCTCCGTTCGTTTCTGGCGAAACAAAGTGTCGCAGAGGGGAGAAACGGCGGTAGGAACTCTGTGGGACGGGAGGACGGGGAGAACGATGCGCGAGAAACGACAGAGATAAAAAGAAATCCGACCGCGTGGAAAAAATAACCGAGCCGGAATCTGGGTCAACGGGGCTGTGCAATCGCAATGTGCCAATGTCAACCGCGTAGATCGCAAGGCCAGCAGAATCGTGACCAGCGAAAAGTCTCCCGATCGACCGTCGATCTTACCAAAATCGATCTTGCAAATCTTAAAGTTAG